AGAATCTTTTTAATGGACACATTCACTATTTGGTATACGTTATATTTTAATAATGGCATTGTATAACTGCTTTTTAAAGTCGATTCAAATTTGTAATATATATTTTTTTCTGTGTGGTAACCATTTCAACTCAAACGCAATTATGTTAATTCAGGTTTTAAGGCTTTTAGCGTTGCCTATTTTCAAAATATATTTCCCCCCATTTTTCTTTGATTGTTTGGTTACTCAACATATTTTTGTCTGTTTATCTGTTACCATTACCATATATCAGTTTAGTAATTTGACGATCTTGACCACTACCTTCTCTTAGTTTATTTTGGTATTGTATTGATGGAAAAGTTTTATTTTTGTCATCTTTATTACCATATTGTACTTGTCATACCTGTTCGTTTGGCTCACTATTCTATATTTACTGTATTTATAACTGTATTGTATAATTTGTATACATGATCAGTTTTGTTCCTTGGACCTTTGAATCATGTAAATTTATATGTCTTTTTAAACCGAAATAAATAAATTAATTATAAAAAAATAAAAAAATAGATTTCGCCGATGATAATGCTGTGTTCAAATCGAGATTTAAAGATAACTTGTTATTTAAAAAAAAACTAAATTCACCATGGGTTTAGTGTCATGTGATGGATAATCAAATTAGGTTAAACAAAGTGCAAAACAAAAATTCAGCCTTTTTTTTTTTTTTTGGTCTTAAATTTGGCCATTACCTCTGTATTTTAAGTGGACGAAGGCGCAATGAGGACACGTTTAGTATTGCATAAGTTCAACGGATAATGAGTGTAAATTGAGTGATTTTTATATTATTCTGTAAACTGTAATGTGGAATAAAATATGAGCATAGGTACTTAAATCCCCCCCCCCCCTCCTCCTCCGACCAGGGGATACGTACCCCATTTTAACAACTCTGGATGTTCCTTGCCTACGGATGATTCCTCCCAAGTTTGAATAAAATCCGGTAATGCGTGTTTGAAAAGAAGTTGACAATTTTAAAAGTGTACGGACGACGAACAAAAAGCGAAAGCAATAGATCAGGTGAGCTAAAATTCCCCATAAATCTTGCAAAATGTATCTATAAGGCTTTGTTCTTTGTAGTGTAGTCATGAATAATAATTGGTATTCGAAGACCTAGCTATCCTACTCGACAATGCATCTCTTAATGCACTAAGGAAAAGAATGTGATTTGAGTTTGTACGTGTATCCTCATTTATTCATATCGCGGTTTTCGCTATTTTTTATTGATGAAAAAAATGGTAACGTATCTGGAAGAAATATTGACGCCACTCTCCAAAAGAGCAATTTTTTTCACAACCTCTGACCCCATACATTGCAAGCAAATGACTCCTGACAATATGTTAACTTAAGAAGACTCATATCTATTGGGCGAAACAAGGCTGAAAAAAGATCGGGACTACCAGCGACACAAAAGTCGCTTTTATTAAATACTTTTGAGCAGAATGCGCCTGACACAAACTTAACCTTACCCTACCCGTAATGCCTCAAATTGTCATCTCGTTAAACCGAAATTACTTATTGCCCATAGATCCATAAGACACCATGGTCCGACCTATGGAACTCTCTCCCAGAATATATTAAATCATGTTGCTCCCTCTACTCATTTATGGCTAAAGTTAAAACGATGTTATCATCAGAATACTCAAGGTAGAATTTCTGTGTCAACTCTTCATTCTTTATCATGTCATCTCTTCTTTCATTCATTCGAATCATTATTACTATCGTCATTCTCATCATCATCATCATTATCATCATCATCATCATCATCTTCATCATCATCATCATCATCCTTATCTGCATCACCATCATCGAAATTTGTATTTTCAATTAATACATTTCATGAGTTTTGTCTGGGGCTGTCGTATTATCAAGCAATCTGCTTATAATGACAGTCCTTCTTCCGCATATAATTTTATAATGTTTTATCATGTTTGAGAAAATTGAGGACAGTTTATCATTTCGTTTTTAAAATAACAATGTATATATATGTATTTGCTCATTTATGATTCATTGTCAGAAAAATACTCATTGTACTTTATATTATTATTGTTATCGAAAAACTGTATGTTTACATGAATGCAGAAGAAAATCAAATCAAATCAAATCAAATCAAAACCCTAAAAAAGCCGGGCTATTTGAGGTCTTAGTACGGCCGGGAGGGGGGGGGGGGTGCATTATGCCCCCCCTTTAATATCTCCCCGAAAATTTGCACGCATATCAAGTGAAGTGTATAGAATAATATGATATTTTCAATTTTTTGAAAAATTTACTTATTTGCATATTAATGGTAATTTATGCAAATACAGTCACAAGATCACATTTTACCCATAAATCATAATAAAAATACGACAAATTTGTTTGGAAGAGCCAACTTATTTCTTATGTTATCTCTTGTTTTGATAATTTCTTATGTATTTCATTGTTTGTTTAACTTATGTATTTTATTGTTTTTGTTGTTTTATTTCAATTCTTACTACAATTCAACTATTTTGACTGACAAAACAACCACCTAAACTTTAAACAAGACCCAATAACCAATTCTTAGGAAAAATGTCCATGTGTTTTGTACACAAATCACGCAAATAAGCGATTTTCGGGCTGACATGCAAAGACAAAAGGTCACTTGACCTTGTAGTTGTAGGTCCGATTTTCTAGAAAAAAAATTTGAAAGATGCACAAGACTAAAAAAAAAAGTCAGCGAGCGGCGGGGCGCCATCCATATGCGTTCCCGAGCAATCGGAAAAATCGTGGAGGGGGCCATAATGCCCTCCCCCGGCCTTATTAGGGTTAAGCGTAAGCACTCAGTCCTCAGAGTTGGTATGCGTGTGTAGTGCGAGTTAATTATTGTTGGAGTTTACATCTCATGATGGGTTTGTCATTTATTTATATATCTCTTGTTCTTGTAATATTTTACTTGCGAATGAAAACAAAATACAACAGCTTAGTCATGCTAGAATATTACTATTTTTAATCTAAAGTAAAGGAAATCTGATAAAAATGTTACAAGGGTTTACTAAACCAACCTTATACCATTTTGATTATTGTCAAGCAGTAAATATTTAATTTTGTTTCCTTTAATAAATTATGAATAAATACGATGCCAGAAACGTGGACCTGTAAATTACATTCCGCAAAACTGTCCTTCAGATGACCAAATGCACTCACGGCGGGGACCCTTATCCTGCGACTTTAACTCAAACCGCTTGTCTAGTGTCATCCATTTCAGACTTGTGAACAAATCAGCCGACGGTGTGTCATATGTCTTGTTCAATATTATTCTTGCGGCCCTCTTTTGAATTTTTTGCAGCTTAGTTGTATGAGATTGAAATCTGTTCGACCATACAACAGAGCAGTAATCTAATCGTGGCAACACTAGACTGTTATAAAGTAGCTTTAAGGATTTTTGAGGCAAAAAACTCTTTGCTCTCTTTATCATGCTAATGTTTTTTTCTGGGTAAGTTTACTTACGTTTTCGATTTGTTTAGACCATTTCAATTCTTCATCTATCAAAAGTCCTAAGCATTTGGTGAATTGAACTCTTTTGATCAAATTGCCGTTTAATGAAATGGTGAAAGATTCAATTTTCTTGAGATTAGCAGGAGAGTCTATTAACATGACACAAGTTTTTTCAGTGTTAAGAACAAGACGATTTTCCTTAATCCATGCCATGACTCTGTTTAATGCAACAGTTAATTTTTCTTCCACAACAGTTACATCATTTGCACTGACGGTAAGTGTCGTATCGTCAGTAATCTATGATACCTTCAGGAGTACATTCAGGTAGACTATTAACATATATTGAAAATAAAAGGGGACCAAGAATTGAACCTTGTGGCACACCTAATTAGATGGTTGATGGATGCGACTTGGCTCCTTTGAATTGGGTCACTTGTTGTCGATCCCCTAAATATGATTTGAACCAATAAATAGTCCTATTACTACAACCTATACAAGCTAGTTTATGTAGAAGTAGCTCATGGTCAACAGTATTAAAAGCCTTACGAAGATCTATGAAGGCAACTCCAGAAATTTCTTTGTTATCAATATTCAACGACCATTGATTTACAAGTTTTGCAAGGGCAGTAGCTGTTGAATGTTTAGGTCTAAAACCAGACCTATGAAGATATATGAATAAATAAATAAATAAATTATGAAGATAAATACTAAGAAATGATAACGTAAACAATAATATAGCTTTCCAAAATGAAGCAGATGCCGTGCCCGTTACAGAACGAAGCAACCCAGTCAGAAATCGTTGATAAGTAAAAGATAAATTTCCATTGCCTAAAGGTGTTCTTACGTTTTAAAAGGGTAGTTTTAGTGGCACTGAAATCTGGAAATTGGGGCTTGTTGGTATTATTGCAATATTAAAGAACATAACAACCCCTTATTTGATATGAGTTAGAAGTCACTGATGAGCGAATGAAAGATATTGTATGGTCTGCAATTTATAACTGGATGGTTGGAAGGTGTAGTTTGGTATGATAATCTTTTCTGGATGTTTGAAAAGCGTGGTTTGATCTGGTAGTCGTTTCTGTGTGGTTGCAAGGCGTGATTCGGTATGGTACTTGTTGTTGGAGGGTCGAAAGGCGTGGTTTAGTAGTCGTTAGTGGATGGCTAAGAGGCGTGGTTTGGTCCGGTGGTCGTGGCTGGGTGGTTATAAGGCCGTTTGGTCTGGTAGTCATTTATGAATGGTTGAAAGATGTGGTTTGGTCTGGTAGTTGTTGCTATTTGGTTAAAATTGTGGTTTGATCTTGTATTCGTTGATGTGTGGTTGTAAGGAGTGGTTTGGAATGGTACTTGTTGCTGGAGGGTTGCAAGGCGTGGTTTGGTATGGTACTAGTTGATGGAGGGTTGCAATGCATGGTTTGGTATGGTGATCGTTTCTGGAAGGTTGAAAACGTTGTTTGATCTAGTAATCGTTTCTGTGTGGTTGAAAGGCGTGGTTTGGTCTTGTAGTCGTTGCTATTTTGTTAAAGTTGTGGTTTGATCTTGTATGCGTTGATGTGTGGTTGCAAGGAGTGGTTTGGAATGGTACTTGTTGCTGGAGGGTTGAGAGGTGTATTTTTGTCTAGTAGTCGTTGCTGTGTGGTTGAAATAGATGGTTTTGTCTGGTAGTCGTTGCAGGGTTGTTGAAAAGTGTGGTTTGGTCTGGTAGTCGTTGTCGTGTGGTTGAAAGTCGCAATTTTGGTCTGGTAGTAGTTGCTGTGTGGTGGAAAGGCATGGATTGGTATGGTAGAAGTTGTTGTGTTGTTGAAAAGCGTGGTTTGGTGTGGTAGTTGTTGCAGAGTTGTTGGAAGGCGTGGTTTGGTCTGGTAGTCGATGCAGGGTTGTTGAACGGCGTGGTTTAGTTTGGTAATCGTTGCTGTGTGGATGAAAAGCGTGGTTTGGTCTGGTAGTCGTTGCTGTGTGGTTGAAAAGCGTTGTTTGGTCTGGTAGTCGTTGCTGTGTGGTTGAAAAGTGCTGTTTGGTCTGGTAGTCGTTGCTGTGTGGTTGAAAAGCGTGGTTTGGTCTGGTAGTCGTTGCTGTGTGGTTGAAAAGCGTGGTTTGGTCTGGTAGTCGTTGCTGTGTGGTTGAAAAGCGTTGTTTGGTCTGGTAGTCGTTGCTGTGTGGTTGAAAAGCGTTGTTTGGTCTGGTAGTCGTTGCTGTGTGGTTGAAAAGCGTGGTTTGGTCTGGTAGTCGTTGCTGTGTGGTTGAAAAGCGTTGTTTGGTCTGGTAGTCGTTGCTGTGTGGTTGAAAGTCGCAATTCCGTCTGGTAGTAGTTGCTGTGTGGTGGAAAGGCATGGCTCGGTATGGTAGTCGTTGCTGCCTGGTTGAAATGCATTGTTTGGTCTGGTAGTCGTTGCTGTGTGGTTGAAAAGCGTGTTTTGGTGTGGTATTCTTTGCTGTGTGGTTGAGAATCACTATTTTGTCTGGTAGTAGTTGGTTGAAAGGCGTGGTTTGGTGTGGTGGTAGTCGCTTGGAGGTTTTATTGCAAGCTTTCTACAATGAAGGCTAGTCCTTGTCCGCCACCGATATATGCTGAGCCAACACCCTACTGCTTACCTCTCCGTTTGTATCATAGGAGAAGAGAATGAGGAAAACATATGATGATGATGATAATGATATAAATAATAATTAAAATAATAATCAAATCAATAATAATAATCATAATAATAATAATTATGATAATGATAATGATAATAACAATGATAATAATATATTGATAATGATATTGATGATGACAATGATAATGATAAAAATAATAATGACAATAATTAGCAATCCTTATGCTAACCCTAAACATTGCCCTAAATCTTATCAAAAATCCATTTTGCAGCCATAATCCTTTTATAATCACCCCATTAATGATAATAAATAATGTGCGTCTAGAAATTGAGCAATTTGTAATGAAATTGATAATAATAATGGATACAACAGAAAACACAGGTTACAAACATTATATATTCCGAAACGAGTTGTGAGTGTTGGTACCGTGTATCGTCTTTTGGGAGACAGAAGGGCGTTAACTCGTATCATTTACATGGACCCCCAAACAACCTCTCAGCTCTCAACAGATGATATGTCAGATAAATCTTTCTGAGATAAAATTAAAACATAAACAAAACTATGCCTTGAGTATAGAGCTTGATTTCAGATTTGTTATACAATTAATATTAATTCAGAAAAGTTAAAACTTAAGAAAATATGCCAATATCCATTCAGGAGTAAAAGTATAGGATTTAAATTTCATTTTATGAATGTTGGTGGGTTGGTGGTTCTGGGTATTGCAATTATATCCGCTGATTTCAATACCTGGCAGGAATGAATTCCTTGAAATGCTAGAGATCCGCAATGGCCGCCTTGCTAAAGCCAGGGTAATATCGGGGCAGCACCAGGAGGTTCACAACGTGGCAAACATATGCGCCATATATGAAGCCACAATTATTATTATTATTACTATTACATGGTTGGTAATGTCCCTGGGCAATAAAGGCATTGAATATTGAGCATACTGGTTCCGCGAGAATAGGAGAAAACTCCTTCAAAATCCATGCAAGGGAATATAAGATTTTTGCCCTGGTACCCTTCTTACATCCATCGATCTCAGTTTTCTTTCCACATCGTCCGCGGGTATGATGAAGGGCGTCGGATAAGATTGTCTCCTCTGGTTGGGATGACGTAATACGAGGTTCTATTGGTTGTAGATCTTCAGACACACAGGTAAAAAGTGTGTTGATCATTTCAGCAAGAAGCGATTGTCTCCCTCTGCGATGCCATTTACAAGGTGTCAATCAGGCACATGCCCTTTCATTTCGTCTGACTAAACGTGTAATACTTTAATATAGTAATCATTAAAGATTATGTCGTAGCAGGCCAGATCATTCCCAAAGTAACAGAAACTCATTACCTAGTAAATTAAAATTCCAAGCTAGAGCAGGGTGCACACATTAAATACATTATGACCATGATTACATACACATAACACGTTAACATGCACCAAGAAAGAAAATTGAAGAAAAAAACGCCCACCGAAACCATGAAGGCAATAGGAAGTAGCCCCTCCCCTGGTGTCAGAAAATACGAGGGGATAATGCAATATGCTTACTCCTCCCATCATAGTTTTCTAAATGCACTTAATTTTATTACAAATAAACTGCTATTTGAAAACCATGTGCCAATTTAGCTATTTTGTACAGGCTCATAGGGATTTCAAAATAAGATAGTGATATTTGTCAGATCACTTTGCCCTTTTAAGTTTTATCTTTTATTACATTTGTTTTTCTTCTTGAATTTGTTTCATTGCAGCAAGCTTATAATGTAACCTGAAAACAAAATCAAGAAATACCAACCCATTTGTACTTTGCATCATCAAATGAGGTGTATATATTTTGTTATGACGGCATTTATGATCTAATATATAATTTGCCTCATGATGGAAGGGTTCGCAAATATGCGTTTGTCATCAATGCAAACAGATTAAACAATATCAGTATATTTTACTACAACTGCCCTTTGATCTCGGTTGGCGTTTCACTGAATATCTTTTTCTTGATACAAGTTTGTGTTTGCCTAAGACCACCCCTAGCACATCTTCTCTATTGATCTTGGATACAAATTGCCAAATCTATGGTTACTGGATGATAAAATCATATTTATATTTTTCTAGAAAGGGAGGAAAAAAACTAATTGCCCCCTCTAAACGGTTAAAGTTTGCATTTTAGAGCATTCTTAGGGTAATAAAGTTTTATCGCAAACATTTAATAGTCTTTAGGGCATTCATATTTTGATCCTATTTTGTAAGCACTTGCTTGCGTTGGCAAGTGTAGACAGGGTTTTAAAATGCATGAAGAACACTGAAGGGAACGTAGCAACCATGACAAGAAAATCGTGATTTCAGAATGCTGACAGTTGGCATTTCAGACCACCTGAAAGTTACACACAATTATCTTTTTCTCCTCGCGAGGATTCACGAGTGGAATAAAAATAGGTTTTTCCCGCCCTCACTTCAATGATTTTTTAGTTGTTGGGGATGGGGGCGGTAATCCTCCTCAGCCAGACTCCCCCTCCCCTTCTCGCTTCCAGTGCCCGTGTTTTAGAACAAACATGATTGATATCAAGGGTCACTGATTTATCTTTATACGTAATGGCACGATTTGGTAGGGAACACTAGTATGGTTACATTTTCAGACAAATTGTATTTTTGTAACTAAATATTGACGTAAACTATAAACGTTAATCTATTCAATCATTCACATCATTCTAATAACGGTTTTGATCAGACGAGGCTCATTGTATTTGGGATAGGAGACTTTGCAACTGTTTTTTACTCTTAACATGTAGGTTAAAATGAATACATTAACAACTCGCTGACATAAATTGCAATGTTTAAATGCATCGTAAAACAAGGGCATTTTTTCCTTGGACTTTTGTTCCTTCTTCAACGTAACCCGAAGGCGGATCGAAGAGGTAAGCTAGAAGACGTTTTTGTTTTAGTTCTTCCTGATTTAAGGGTAGCAATTTCAGTTACAAAGCCAGTTTCCACAGGGACAAATATGCCTATATTGAGCACATAACTATAAATATATTTTAAGATTGCAAATTGCAGGGGGGGGGGGGAATCATATCTAAGTTTGCATGTAGAGTCAGTCAACTGATGAATTGAAGATAAACGTGGACAAAATCGAATTAATGAGAAAATCAAAATTGCCTTCTAAATAACACTACAAGAAAATAAAAAAAGAAGGAAAAAAAACAAGGATTTAAATCCGATTTAAAGGTTTAAAACTTGAAAATACTGTTTAAAACGGTCATCATTATAGGGACCTAATAGGGTTAAAACGTTGAAATTAGTCGAATCGTGAGCAAAAATAAAGAGATTATAGAAGAGGTTGTAAAGTACTATTCATATTTGTATAAAAAAAAGAAAAGCATGATACCAAGAATATGAGCAATTATATTGGTTTTCAAAATATTATTAAATTATCTAACGAAAACAAAGAATTGTGTGATGGATTAATTAACAAAGAGGAATGTAAACGTGCAGTACTTGCAATGGAGAAATATAAGACACCGGAATCAGACGGAATCTCCATTGAATTCTATCAGGTGTTTTGGTCACACATAAAAAAAACATTAGTTGTTGAAGCTTTGAATGAGTGTTATGTAACATGAATGATGTCGAACACACAACAGAAAGGTCTCATTACATTGTTAAGAAAGATGATTCTGACGATTTAAAAAACTGGAGACTAATCACTTTTCTTCATTATGACTATAAAATAATGGCAGCGGTTTTAACTGCAAGGGTACAGAAAGTCATTGGAGAGATTGTACATGGAAATCAGACAGGTTATATAAAAGGTCGCCTGGCAGCCAGTAATGTAAGGTTGACAAAAGACACCATTGAATATTTACTAAAAATGATCAAACTGGAGAAATTATGCTAATAGATTTTACTAAGGCATTCGATGTCTTAGATATACTATTTCTTAACTCATGTCTAGAAAAGTTTAACTTTGGTGAGCCATTTCGCAAACGGATCTCTGTCCTACATAACAATATTTCAAGTTCGGTATTGGTTAATGGTTGGATTTCCAAAAGTGTTGATGTTCAAAGAGGCATACGACAAGGATGTCCATTGTCAGCACTGCTGTTTATCTTAGCTGCCGAGCTCATGGCAAACAAAGTGAGAACAAAATAATAATATTAAACCAATAGAAATGGTCGGGTATGATTTTAACCTAAAGTTGTTGCAATATGCCGACGATACATTATTTTTTGTTCCGGATGAAACTTCATTAAAGGGAATTTTAGATGAACTGAATCAGTTTGGCAAAGTAGCAGGCCCAATAATAAATTAAGAAAAGACAGTCATGATATGGTTAGGAGACACTGATAGAAGTTTGGAATGTAGCGAAATATGATCTAAAATGGACCCACAAGCCTATAATATATTTAGGTCATTACATATATTTTAATAATAATGATGATCTAAAGATGAACTGGGAGCAGAAGTTGATAAAATTGAAGAAAATTCTTGATAGCTGGACAAAAAGAAGCTTAACCATATTTGGAAGAGTCACGTACTGAATAGTCTAGCACTTAGCCAGGTTACTCACTTAATCATGGTTGATTCCATCCCTCCAAACTTTTTGAAGATGATGGAAGGCATTATATTTAAATTTATTTGGAGTGGTAAAACAGGAACAATCTAAAGGGTTTCTCTTTATAAGACTACAGTAAATGTGGTATAACAATCCTTGACATACAAAGGCAATTGTTCAGCTTCCGACTGAAATGGTCGGGTAGATTTTTCAAAGAGAGTAATGGAGCGTGGAAAAAAATGTTTTCTTACTGGTTCAA